AATCGAACCCGAGACCCCAGGATTACAAGGCCAGCGTTCTAACCGCTAGACAACCGTGGCTATCTTAAACATATATACGATTTTATTGTATTACACATTAAATGCAATAAATAATATATGACATAAATAGGTCAGGAACTGTACAATTCCGTGGCGCGTTCGACAGAATTTAACATTTGGCCTGCGTAAATTGTGCCAGTGACGTCAGTGTTGAATTGGGGCCAATGTACATTGTGTCTGGTAGGATAATGAGACCATCACGGAGGATCCCCCACCCCAAGGTAACCACGGTAACCAAGGAAAAACCCAGCCATAACAACAGTTGACTTTACATAGAAGTAAAGTGGAGTTATGAATGCGATGAATATTTGTCGGTGCTGTGTGGACCACATCTCGAACGAGCGTTGTCGGGTACGTTGACGCCATCCATCAGAACGATCCACAGACAGTAACATTACATTTTGCCCCTGGTCAGGGACACGACATGAAACCGGATGACAAATGAAATGCAATGCTTGATGCAATTCTGCGCTACCAGCTTGACGACTTGTCTTTTATTTTCGTTTTCGTCTTTCGATTTAAAACGTCTAAAAACAAAGGATAAGTAAGAGAAGTCTTTTGTTTTACGTTTACTGCTTGTTACAGAGAATTCAGTCTTAGACTTGTCTTTAAAAAAAAGTCGGTTTAATGTACTGCAGCAGTGACCTTGACATTCTTACTGGGATTGTGGCCAATCTTCAGAAACATTCAGATCAAAATAAACTTGAACGTAATACGATTTCGTCTGGTGTAATTTCTCTGAAAGTGGTTAGTGGTTACGGAGAATTTTCAGTATAAACTACCCATCTCCATCAATAAAAAAATTAGCAGCAATGCTACTGAAAATTAATACGAAATACACAATAGAACTTGAACATAAGTAATCCCAAAGCACCCGGCCGTCTATTCATTTTACACACGATTCAGTTTAACACACGGGCATAGATAGATAAATTATCGTCATTATGAATCATTTATTTATTATGCAAATTTTATAACGAGGTTCACGTTTCTTAGTTCTATAATCTCAGCTCTAGAATAAAGAAATATATTCGTCTTGTGTCTCAGTATTTCTAAGCTGTGGGCTATGGGGTGTTCCTTTTGTCTCTGACTCAGTCCAAAATCTGTGCTAACTTCTTAATTTAGATAACATAATTTGTACAGAATGGTAATGGGTGGTTATTTTTTCTACATCACAAGGTTTCAGACGCAAACAAGTATCCTGTACGAGGGAAATGTCTATTTAAAGTTCCTTGTGCCGAGGGATATATGGTGATATACAGTTGACCCTTGGCGGCCGTCACCATGCGGAACACGTGTGGCAATCCCCAAGGCCGTGTATGAGCTATATATTACTAAGTCAGTAAATAAACAAACTCCATTCAAATCACGGCTTACGATACGTAAGCAAACCCCGCCACACCTAAAGAATGACATGAGTACAAACATGTTACGTTCTGTGTGCATGCACATCCGAATTTGTTCCATTTCTGTGTTCCTGAGAACCAAAAGTTCATTTTATGATACTCGAAATATTTCGTAGTTAAATCCTGTGTGACATTTTTGGTTCCTATGGCCGCGAGTCTGAAGATTACTGTCTTCTGAAATGTTACGTTGCGTAGTCACAAGGAAATAAGTCATCGCCATGATTATGGAGGCAGTAAGCACCTCTGAAACGTCGGTTAACTTGTACCAGAATACACGGCCCAACAACTCAGAAGGCAGCCATCCTCATTTTTAAAAATGTTCTGTATAAAAAGGTTGTAAAATTTTGATTCTTGAACCTTGTCCAACGTCTAATGTTACAAAATTACACAATGTTATGGCTGGATCTATCCCCGTCTTCAGGTATCGTGAACAGGAAGGACACTTATTCTGAGCTAATCTCAATCACTAGACCCTCACCACTCCTGAAGACGAGGACACATCTAGTTCTCGAAACGACGTGAAATTTTATAACATCAGACGACAAAGTCCCAAAACCCAACAATTCAGACTGTATTACACCATCGTCAGAACCCTTCAGATTAAAAGTTGTAAAACATTATGACAGCGATATTTCATGTCGTACGTCACTTGCGTACGCAGGGATGTTTTTGATCAAATTTATACCGAACCTTCGTTTCAAATATACAAGCCGTTACGAAACACATTTAAATTTGCTGTACATCATTTGGCGCTTTATAAAACTTACTCGTATTTCGCCCAGTAATTTCAGATAATAAAACTTTTGATAACACATAAGAACTAATTAGTCGTCTACGGATTCAATTCGCATGCTATGTGCGAAGACAGACGCTTAACGAGAGAAATGGGTAAGAATTTTCTTGAGCATCCTGTAGTCTGCTGAGATAGTGAGCGATATATTATCGCCTCTGGACCAAAACAAACGAGAAGCACGGAGCTGAAGCAAGCAAGTAGCAAACTTTTGAAATCGATGTGTGGAACAAGTTTTGAATGGCATTCAACAGGTGTCGGAGCAGGGCCAGAATGTTAAGTGGTTCAAGCGAGAGAAAGCACAGAAGTCGTGAGTGATCTGCTACTGAATGGATGCTGTGTTACTGCTCGCACCTAATCGATTACTTCCCTTTACAGCACCATCATTTTAATTGGTTTAACATCGCATTCTTGTATCCCCACCAATTTTTCCCTATTATTTAATGACAGTAACAAGTGCTAAGATAATCCGGAGCGCTGACAAATTGTAATTTAATGGGGGGGATACATAACCAGCCTTTAATATGGAGGGAAAACAAGTCATAATCAACCCACAAAAACGATAGAGATGAAAAATAGCTCCGAGAGAAATATATTACGGCCGAATGGTCAGAAATCATACTTCCTATTCGGGAGGTCCCGGGTTCAACTCTCGGCCCTTACATCACCTATCCTGATAGGCATTTCGTGGTTCCTCTCAGGCCCTTAGAAACTTAAATCAGGCTACAACCGCTTACTTCCATATCCTTTCCAATTCATTTATAATCCTATTATACGATGCTGTATCATTTTGTGGTACTGACAGCGTCACGTCGTTAAATAAGCAACCGAACATAAACAGTAATCATATAAAAGAAATCAAATAGGCTTAATGGAGAAATTCGTGACAAGCCCAGTCCGTAGTCAGAAGACGCACTCTGTGAGTTTCGTAGTCAGTTGGAAATTCAAACTTTCATAATTTTGTGTGGTCTGACTTTCAGCCTTTCTTTCAATAATCAGAATCCTAAAAAATAAACCTTGTTTCGTGCCCCAATGTAGGGGCGGCCTAAAATTCGACATGCCTGGCAAGGCGCCGGATTACGATCGGCGTTTAAATTCCGAAAGACTATTTTAATATCCGCATTTGCGATATATTTAAGCCTAATATAGACCCAATGAAAAGCACGCAATTCGTTTTGCACGTAACAATCTGTGTATCAAAACTGGTAAATATTGAAGGAATTGTGATTAAATTCTCCGGTACAGATTATCTGCAATAAAATCTATCTACTGGTAAGTGTTGGATTAAATTCTACTATAGGATTTATAAAACTCAAATTAAATTCCATCACAGGTAAATTTCTTCTTAAAAACGGGGAGGGAGAAGGGATTGATAGGTGGAAAAATAACAATATATTGCATAAATTATAGTTAATATTAGGATTAATAACTTTAATTTAAAATATTTCTTAAGTAATCAACTCCACGGGGTGGAAGCCTTTTACAGAAGCTGATAGTACGCTCAGCTAGTCAAAAGAATTCCCGCCTTCTGTATTTAGGGCAGGCAATGCTGGGTAATGTTGGTACCCATGGTAATCAATACAAACATGAGACCCAAAGGTAACCAGTGTAACCATGGTAACTTCAGGGTAGGGTAGATTAGGCTAAGTTATAAAAGGCCAAGGTAGGAAAAGGTAGGTAGTGTTTGGTTAGACGTGATAAAGGGCAAGGCTGTAGTAGGCCAGGTTACATATTTTAAAATCAATATTTTCAAAGAACGGGAGTGGATTTATTTCGATATGCAATGAAGTATCTAAACTTTGTTAAACTCTGTAATTAATCGATTTGTAGGACACCAAATGTAACGATGAATACACAAATTCGAGAACACATAAGGATAATACGCGTTTTCTGAACAGGATTACAACTCGGTACCGCTGTTCGTTCTCCGGGATCAGACACACTCGTTACTGAAGCTTAACGCAATTCTGAATTCAACTTACCGTGCGGTACGTCCTCTTCTGCCCTGCATGTTTGCCTGCCCTTCCTTCCATCTCCACATGGACGCTGTATATGATGTCAAAGAAGTTCTCCACCACAGCCACTTTCTTGAACAGCTGTTTGTCCCGTCCCTGTCCATCCTGCAACAAGCACAACACGCTGTCATTCGTTTATCCGAAAATGATTTCCATATTTTCTGAGATCTCGTTAGTGTGCTGCATTGACGGGATTCCGGGTTCTCACGGCGTCGAGTAGGAAAGTGATCCGTCTTCTGGGATGTTGCGCCGTGTGGTCTGGTAGAAATTTGCCGGTACTTACTGCCTTCATAATCACGGTGATTAGTAAGCCATAAGCAGTAAGTACTTCTGAAAAGTAGGTAAATTTCCACCAAACTACATGGCGCAATATCCGAGAAGACAATCATCTTCATGCGCTCCATTTGATTTTTAAAGAATACTTCTAGGGAAATACACGGCCCTAAGACAAAATAGTTTGAAATAAAGGATTTATCATAATTAGTAATTTTATAGCTCTCTGTGGTTTTCCTAGGGTACAGACCTCGAGGATATTTCGATGGGCTGGACACGTAGTTTAGATGGGAATAAAATAATTATAAATAAATTTAAAATGTTAGTGTGAAAATTTTTCGGAAAGCAGTCACATCATCCCACTACGGCGGACTTCCATGCGAGAATTCTTTTTTCATTTCTCCCAACAAACAAAATTCCCATCTTTCCCTCTCAAGGACCTGGTTTCAGTTTCTATTGTTATTCTCGGGCCAACTAAGCATTTGGAAACTTAAATGCCTTTTAAATACAGAAAGACCTGCATTATGCATATTCTGTTTCCCTATTCTGGAGCAGTTTGTATTAAAACATATTTGTAACGTAGCGACGCACATCACAACACCTCGCAAGATACACGTCCAAGTGCATTTCGACGATCAGATTCCACACCCACGGAAGCACGTTACCCTTCCTGTACCCTGGTCTCGGAACAACATTACCAGCCCTCGCCAAAGGAAGTCATGCCTGTCTGGAGACCTTATTTTCTCTTTACACACCGTCATAATCATTTCCATCATCGCCTACTTTTTCCTTTTCCTTTCGGAGACCATCATAATCATTACCGTCATCAAGAACCCCCAACCCACTCTCACACTTTTCATCCACCTCTTAATACCCTTACGGCGCCAACAGTGGATTCTTATATAAAAAGAAAACTGACGTATAAATCAATAGACGAAGCAAGGCGAACGCCAGCTCCAACCCTTAGCCTGCCTCCCCCACCCCCCACGAAACACCGACGGCAACCAACCCCATTTCTTGGGGGCCCGGTGCTCCTTTCTACCAAATGAGGCTGAATCCAAGAAGGATGTTGAAGACTGGAACATGTTTCTTCCTGTACATTGTAACAAATCCGAAAAGGCGTTACGTGAATTCCTCGTCTGATATACGAAACCCTGAAAATTAGACCACATCAAACACTTCCGAAATGTTATCCCTTGCTTTATATGGGTGTGAGGTCTCTTACTATAAATGAAGACCGGATATTGGGGGTGTCGGAGAACAAACAGGAAATGGACGACATAAACGGACGTAACAAGGCAAAACTGTGTATGTGCTTAATTAAGCACCTCATTAGAAGACGAATGGTGGAACGGAAGTATCCCACTCAATCTCATCACCCAGAAAATAAAATAAAAACATTGTGTAGGCGTTCTTACAGGTATAAACCGTCTGATACGAATTTACCATAATATATCAACATTTTAAAGCCTACTGACACATATGTCCTAACTGTTTCACAATCTAAACGTCTGCACTTTTTGAAGTTCCGTATAATTCTCAGTTTAAACAGAGATAATTTCCTAAAACAGCGTTAACAAACTGATGTTCGCAATGACGACGTGTTGTTTCTTGGCGGTACGGACTAATTTAATAAATAATAACAGAGTTTCCGCAGAACTATTGTAGAAATATTTCAGAAACATTTTCTCTTACTAATATTTTTCGACCGAAAGCCTATCATCACAAATATAAATTGTTTAATGCCGGCTAAGCAAAAACATCGTTTATTTGTATCAACAAAACGACCTATGTAAAAACTATTAAAATGACCCGATCAAAACTAAAATTTATACGGATCAGCGTTTTTTCACTCTGCAATATCTAATTGCGTGAAAAATGTTCTTTTAAACCTTTATTAAGTGGTTGCATGCGTACAGATAGACGGTCAGAGCGGCTTTATATACGTTACTCAGGGTAGAAAACGCGCCTAACCAGGACAAATAGGCCTAACGAAGTCCCTCCCCGAGGTAGGGTACCAACCCTTTATCATTACACTAATGTAAAATAGGAGCAGAAATATAGATTCGCTTCAAGAGTGTGCAAGCAGATTCGGTGGGAGGTGCAGAAGGGAGGGAGGGAGGGGTTGTAGATGAATTGCAGAACGCGCTGGATAATTTTCTCTCACATTCAAACAAAACTGCGGGAAGCCGCCACTGCTCTGCGGTTTGCAGAACAGGTACGCTCTGTACTTCATGCACGGAGAGGTCTGCTGACTTTTCATATAGAGTTTTCGAGCCTAGCTGAGAGGAATGCTTTGGCGAGACAGACATGTACGTGTGGTGTAA